GTGTGCAAAGTATCCAAGGGAAGTAAGATATATTTTGCTGGGAAAGGCATGAGGTATCAGGATGCGGTTTTGTTAAGAGAAAGTAGAATCATTTTATCCTAAGTTAGAGATTATTTAGAGCTTGTTTTAGACCAGGACAAAAGAAAATGAAGGACCAAATCTACATGAATACAGCAAGTTAGGAAAAGAGAGACAGAATGAGTGAGAGAGAAAGAGAGAGGAGGGATTCCTGTCTTGTGTGGTCAAGTGAATGAAAATGGAATGAATTTATGATATGGGTTTTTTAAATGAGCTTTAACAGCAGTAGTGTGCCGATGCTAAACTAGAATTTAATTTTTTGTCCCGGTTAAATGATCAAAATTGTCCTCGATTACTGTGAAAATTTTTCTTTACCTGTTAAGTAACTCGCCTGGGAAACAAGGATTCTGAGTCTTATCGAGATCATTAATTGCATGTGCTTTATGATCTTCATCTGGTCTTTGATTACTTAAAAAGCCCAAGTTTTCCCAAAACTAAAAGAGATAAGTCTTTTTTTCCAGGTCCATTACTTCCTGTATTTGCCTTTGAAATACATAACTAACTATTGTTTCATAACAGTTTGTGATCTTATTTAATCAGTGTCAAACCTTCTGACATTTTCCGCTCAGCTCCTTGGTGCCTATCTCTTAATTATACATAGTCAGCAACAGTTGCCAGATGCTTGATGAAAGCCGCTATTGTGGAAGACAGATCAAAATAAACACTTGGAGAAGAGGAACTCAAAGGAAACAGAGGCAAGAAAAGAAGAAAGAAGAAAGAGGAAAGAAGGAAATACAACTGTAATGAATATCTCAGAGAAGTAAGAGAAAATGTCACATCCATGGAACACGCAGGACTGCTGTATAGCAAACAATCAGGGAACAAGAGAGGAGCCCTTGTGATTTAAAAATATTACCACATTCATAAAACATTTAATAGAAAAGCCAAGAGAAAAATTAGAGAAATATTCCCAGAAGTAGAATAAAAAGACAGAGATTAAAAACAGGAGAGAAAATATGAAAAAAATAAACTGCAGAATAAAGAGATCAAACATCCAATTAATAAGAATTCTTAAACAGAATATTTAAAAAAAGGAAATGTAAAATAAATTCACAAAACTGAGGGACACAGGTTTCCAGACAGAAATGACCACCAAGTACCCAGCACAATGCTATAGAATAAAATCCATATCATGCACACTATCGTGAAATTTTAGAATTTCAGGGATAAAGAGAATTTTAAAATTTAAGGCCAACGATGTTAAACCTAGATTCTTATATACAATCTGTCAAGTGTGAGAAGAAAAAAACAAAGACATTCTCAGGGACCAAAAACACTTCTTTCTGCACCGTTTCTCACGAAGCCTCTGAAGGACACTTTCCATTTAAAAGAGAGGCACTAAGATAGAA